ACTGGCTGCGAGGACAGATGCAAGGGCTACCACTGGCTGCGAGGACAGATGCAAGGGCTACCACTGGCTGCGAGGACAGATGCAAGGGCTACCACTGGCTGCAAGGACAGATGCAAGGGCTACCACTGGCTGCAAGGATCCACATCCTCCGTCCGTCTTCTAACTAGCATGATGAGTGTTACCATGAAAGTACATCAAAAACCAAACCTGTGTGGATGGTCTGGTTTCTCTCCCCGTGCCAGGTGACGTTACAGCTCCCCTTCACCGGGTCACACAGGCACTTGTTGGGACAGTGGCACTCCCGCTTACATCCCAGGCCATAGAAGCCCAGCGGACACTCTGGGGGGGGGGGGGGGGGAGAAAATGTCAGGGAGAGCAGCTGCCACCCACTATGGATGTAACCCTCCCTGTTTCATATCTGTGAGATCTGCCCTGGATCCCACAGCAGAAGGAAGCACATACTGTACAAGGGCAAGCTTGTTTAGTGCAACTGCTTCCCCCTGAGAACTGAGAATCCTGACCATGAATTTGGCTGTAACTGCTGCACTGTGGTTACTCTCAAAGCCTAAATCATTCTCACAGGTACACAAATGAAAAAAACACAAAACAAAGGCTCTCTATTAACCTTAAACTAACTTTACAGTTATAAAACCGTCTCTAAAAACCTGACAGGTCACCACGAGTCGCCTTAAAGACCCTGACAGCTACAGTTTTTTGGTGATGTTCTAAATATGTGGATCTTAACCTAAAATCACGGAACTACAGCCACCGCGAGACGCTGTCTCTCTATGGTCGCCCCTTCGCTTCGTCTGCCTGCCCACCATCACCACCCGATACCCTGACTCCTTCTACCATTCCGAGACTCGCGCTGTGATGTTGGTTGTCAGTCAGCCCCAGTACTACAGAAACAGAAAGCGGCCCGCAGGAAGTCTCACCGTGTGAAAATGCCAGACGCCGGCCGTAACGCGTCTTCCAGGAAATGAAAAGCGAGAACACTGAGGTAGCGTGTCACACGAGGTTTGTAAACAGCAACAGTGAGGACAGATCCCGCCCAGAGTCCGTCCTGCTCTCTCACCTTGCTCGCAGGCTTCCCCTTGGAACCCGGCGGGACAGGAGCACCTTCCATGGACTGGGTCGCACACACCCCCGTTGGTGCAGGTGCATGTCTGGTTGCAGCCGTCGCCATAGAAACCTGGAGGGCACACTGCAAAAGGGGTGGGGTTTAACACACGGTCAGCCACCCGTGACAGGACAGATTAACACCTGGCCCTCCGTGCATTGGCCGTCCCTAAACCACGGCATTTCATCGAACCCTGTTTTTTTCCCCCTCATAGGGTCTCAGGAGCAGAATAAGGCAGGGGGGGGGGGGTGTTCAGGGACTGATACCTTGGCTGCAGTTGGTCCCCATCCAGCCTGCATCACAGGCACATCCATCTGCAGGAAACACAACCAAACAGGAGGGGGTGACAGAGAGCTCCAAGACGCCCCCCTCAGTCGGGTACCACAGCATCCACCACACAGCACAGAAACACAGGGACATCATTATTTAGTAAAACCACCCGTATGAGCAATTAGCGTTGATCTCCCCCAGGAAGGAGGGCGTGGCCGTCACTCACACTGCGTGCACAGGCCGTGGTCTCCACACGCGGACTGCTGGCACGAGGGGGATCGGCACGCCGGCCCCGCCCAGCCGCTGTGGCACACGCAGCGCCCGCCGATGCAGGAGCCACGTCCGCCGCAGTCCTCGGGCTGGCACGGCGGCTCGTGCACGCAGAGCACCGTGGAGACGGCACGCGGGCACCTCCACCGGGTGCCATCGAGGTACGGGTGGCTACAGAGCGAACGCACCAGGAGAAACCCAATTATCTGCCATTTCCATACGGCACCCTTGACACAGAAGTTCATTAACTCATTCATTAATAAAGCGTGAAATCCGACAAAAGTGTGCACTGTTTCCGGCATACCAGGAGTCTGAGGGGTAACTGGCAAGCGAGCCACCGGCCACGAAGGTGGAGGAGCCGCCCCCGTCAAGGTTGACGGCATTGACCACTCCCTGCCTCTGGAGGAATTCAGCGACCTCCCACAAGTTCATCCTGCAGCGGTAGTGAACAGCAGGCCGTAAGCATAGGGATGACCTCCACACACGCACACACACACAAACACGCACACACACACACACACTCTACAGCCACATTACAGCATAGCAGTACATAAATAGTCATCCATAAGACAGTCTGTACCTCACAGCCTTCGTACATCACTATCACTACACTATCACCGCTATTTACTGCATGACAGTTACTATTGTCTTTATGCTCTGATCCGTCTTAAGCTGTGACGTTAACTCACAGCACCCCAGCGTCCTGAGGTGTGCACCTCCTCACCCCCGATTATCCGTCTCCCCATCGATATGGAACAGAACGAGTCGTCCCTCCTTGTCGTGCCCCAGGGCTGTTCGGGCGGAAACCACGTTTACAAACCTGTTGAATGACCCTAGCAGATTTCAAAAACAGAGATTATGTGTCTCAGTAAGGAGGAAGTGCCTCTGTGTGTGTGTGTGTGTGTGTGTGTGTGTGTGTGTGTGTGTCGGGGGGGGGAGGGTTATTACCCGTCTCCTGGGTCTTGCTGCATTCCGCCTCCATGCTCTCATTTATGTACACCTTACCATTCCTCAGAAGCCACACCACGCCGCTCACCAGCTGCACGAACGGGTTAGCATCACCCTGGACGTCCTCCTGAGACAGGTAGCTGCCAGCACGGACAGACAGAAAGCAGCTGAATTCCTCAAGATCACAGTGACAGTTCACTGGCATCACAAACCATATCTGCAGTGAGGACCAATTCCTCAAGATCACAGTGACAGTTCACTGGCATCACAAACCATATCTGCAGTGAGGACCAATTCCTCAAGATCACAGTGACAGTTCACTGGCATCACAAACCATATCTGCAGTGAGGACCAAAAGGTTCCCTAAACATCCCCATGGAGAAATAGCATAAGAGCTGATCAGCAAAAGTCCATTAAGCACCTTGCACTTCATCAGCCTCCATTCAATATTAAAGAATGCTGTTAAAGTGGGTCAAATTCACATCTTCAAGTCGTCCAACAACAAACATAAAACAATCGGTGTGACCCCTAGTGGCAGTTATTTCAGCCAATGTTAATGGACAGGTTCCACTGCAACTGGTTGCCTTGCCACAAGCCAAGACCCCGAGTCCAAACTACTGCTGAACTTCCTACGGAAGCAACAGTGTCCAAATGTTCGCTCAGCACGGACACACCCTGGGGCTGTGTGACTCACACGCCACAATTGGATCCACTAACATTGAACCTTAAAAAAAAAAAAAGAAAAAAAAAAAAAGAGGCATTTCGCTGATCTGATGACACTTAAAAGCGAAACTATCTTCCTGTAGTTATATCCAGGACTTCAAGTCACCTTAGACTTTTTAAGACCCAACAATTTCTGAGTCTGTTAGACTTAGTTGGACATAAATTAAACCTATGAGCAGAAAACATGACCAGAACACATGAATATTTAATATCTGACATGGAAAATGTTGATCACCCGTTTTAAAAACAAAGAATTCAAGCAATCTCTAGAGGCACACAACAGTCCAAACCTCAGACAACAACTAAAGTGTACAAAGTTGCAAGTCCCACAAACTGTTCTTTTTTCCTTACCCAAACACTAAAGTCCCATCTTTCTTGATCCCAAACTGAGAATTTTGGATTCCCCCACTGTTCTGGACCAGTGTCCCGTCGCTCACCACGTTCCCAAGGCAGCGATTGTTACTTGTGTTGAAGAAACCACCATTTTGGGCGTAGAGGCATCGCCTGGTCCCTGCGGTGCGGGTCACCGTCTCCGTGAGGGGCTTCCCACAGCCACCTGCCCCCCCAGGTTCCAGCACGGAGAAGGTCTGCAGCGGGTTGCTGACGACGGTCACATGACCCTGGACACAATGCCCAATTCTGATGGGGGAAACGAACAACTTCGTTTCTGCCACCGGAGCGTGGGCATCCCTGTTGCTGGGCCAGGTCTCATAGGTGACGTTGCCGTGGGTGACGGACTGACAGTCCCTTACATAGCGATGGGAGTGAGAGGGTCCGTGTGCCCCCCCGGGACCGTATGGCAACAGGATGTCAGCGTTTAATGGGCTCCTGTCAAAACAATGATTAAAGCTTTAATGGGCAGGGGCTCTCCCCATTAGGTAGACACCGTCACTCAAGATTAAACTGACAGCTGAATTACAGGGGGGGGGGGCAATCTTATCAAGAAAGGGCAGTTGTGTATAAGAGTCTTTGCTTCTACACCTTACACCTGGGTTTGATCAGCTGACCGAAAAGGAATCCCAAATACCAGCACACACAGCTGCCCTTTGCAGATAAGATTGGCCACACCTGGTTTAACAGGTGCTCAGTGGTCAAGGAGACTTAAAGACTTAAAACAACCGCCTCAAGATATCCCACAAAAGTCATCAACATAAACTACATCTGCTTCTGTCAATAAGCAATAAACATTTAATTAACCTTAATCGGCATATTACAGTACTCTCACAGGAAAATAAAAGAAAACACATGGCTGTTGTGCTCCTATTACCTTCAGCTACCAATCGGCAGACTGATCCACCACTTATATTAAATGAACATTGAGTTAAGCACAACCCTGTGCAGCAAAAGCAATTATGGAAGATAGATCTAACAGGCCAAAAAAAAAACCGTGCTTGTCAAGTACGCGCTTTTTTTAGAACAGTATACAAACTGTAGCAGAAAACAGAAGATAAAGCAGATTGGCTGACAGTTTAGGCAGCAATCAGTTACTGGCAAACTGGCAAAGATAACATGTCACTGAGTAGCTAAGAGCAACCAAAACACAAACACGACAGCTTGTACACTGAGTACAGCAGTACTTGCTGTGCCTGTCATTGTAAGATGTGCAAACAGAGAGTGCAAACAGGGGCATTGCAGACCAGCTGCTGGATTTGTATAAACACAAAGTGAAGTACATCTACAGGTGCCTTCAGTACAGATCAGGTCAGCTATACGGACGACTGTAGAGAGCTCGAAATATTGAAAGTGGCCACTGAAGTCATGAAAAGCGCCTTGACTATGACCACAAATCTGTTTTATGTCTAGTAAGAAAAGCCCAACTGCCTTTAGACAGTAGCTTGGCTCAAAAGACAAGCCAACAGCCATGTAGCGCCCCCTTCAGGTCACAACTCATACAGCAGAAGTATAATGAGAAGGTCACATGCTCGGTTTAGACTTTAGAGTTTGGACTAAGTATGTGATGGATGCATATTCAGACAGGACTCATTTCTGATACACTTTAGAATAACTATTTATTCATATAACAAAGTAAACTCATTATTGCTGTTTATGTGACCATTGAATTTAAGTGTTGACAAATTTCAGTGATTATAAAATACGAGGGTAAGTACTCTGTATTACAGTACAACTTCCAGGGGTTGATAAATTAAAAATGTAAACATCTGTATAATATTTTAAAGTATCGTCACGATTACTTTAACTGGAAATAATGACATGCTTTATAGTTACATTTATGGATTTCAAACATTTCCAACTCAATTTTTTTTTTTTAAAAACATCGAGACGCTTTACCATGAGACATGGATATAACCTTTAAGCAGTGCAATCACACGCCATAATTCTATCACTTCTTTAATCAATAGCGCCATTTTGAAAAACGCCTAATATTTCATAGTCATATGAGCGCAAACTATGACTAACAGTTTAAAAAAAAACTAACGCCGTCTAGAGGAAAATGTTTTATATCTTTATAAAAACATTTCCCTCAATCCAATTACTATTTTAACAAAAATATAACAAATTGAAAGTTTGCGGAAACAACAAACTTTTGCAGTTAAGCTGGTTACGTTGAAAGTGACTAGAAAAGATATCTGAATTTCAGCAAACCAACGTACTTACGAAACCTATCTCGATTTCCAACGTAAGTGCACAATCGAAAAATATGTCAAAGTGACATCTAGTTCAACTTTGCTCCGTCACAATCCATCTACCCAACCATCCATGCAACTATTTATCCATCCATCCGACTGACTGATTTGATTACAAGTTGCATCACCATTGATTCTGTGTCCTGTTTCCCAGAATATGTCGCAAGAGTTAATAAAAACGATAATACAATTTAAGGTGGTTTCGCTTTGCACTGTCTTGTAACTACTGAGCAATCATAACGCAAAGTAAAAACTATCCTAAACAGATTAGCTGACTACAGCCTTACCAGAAATCTTCGTTCTCCGAGGACCCGTAAGCAATATATATAAGCAGCAGAAGCCATCCGCAATTTACTGAAGGCGCTGCCATAAAACGCTAAGCGTGTTCGAAGCCGTCAAACGCCTACATTATCCTAATGGTCACGATTAAAGCAAGCGACTCCATACGATCATGTGACAGCGCAAATCACGTGATCCGTGACACCTGCTTGTGCGTTGTACGCATGCGTCGCCATATGTCTCATTTCCCTTTCGGGCCCCCAAGAGGCTGAAAAAGAGCAAGCATTTTCTATATTCATGCCCCCAAATAAATGAATGAATGCTGTTAACAATTGACCATCGGTATTTACTTAATAAAATGTCCATAATCGCTTAATAGTGAGATTACCTGCATCGAAGACAATGGTATATTTATTTGCTTTACAGTAATCAAGAAAAAAATCAAGAATTTCTGTGTATGACAATAACAAACGTTATATATTTCTTTATATAATAGCACTAAAGTTAAAACTACCTTCTTGTGGACATTTTGCTTTTAAAATATTATAATCGAATCCTATACTGATATATTGTGGTGGGATGTATAATTACGGCCTATGGTGCTCCGTCACCGTGGGGAAGGTTTTACATGAAACACCAAACGGGAGTCAGAGTTGAAGGGTATGGCGGCGTGAAGTAACATGTTTCCTGGCCTCTGCGTTACTCGTGGGGTTTTTTCTCACAGAGGCTGTAAGTTTCCGCCTGAGATCCGTGCTTTTCCCAGTGCTGTACGCGCACTGAGCCCCCCGGAGATTAACCGTCTCAGGGTATCGGCGTATTCTAGCGCCGGCTCGCAGCACAGCGAAAAATACTGTCTTGATATTGTGAGGTGAGTTATTCTAATGATATCCAGTATACAACACTCTCATATAACGTGCAGTTTTGCATTTCAGGTCATTTGAGTAGCTGTTTTGTATCTTACAATAGATAATTAAATCCAGAATAACACAGTTTTTGTACTGCTGAAAGTTAATAAAAGTCAGGGTTTTAATTTTTCCATGATTGCGACTGGGTGAACTATCCCATCTTATTAACATAACTATCCCCACAAAGTGGCCTAAATTTGCCTGTGTAGTAAAGTGTCTGTAGGCTTTCCTGCCAATTTATGGAGAACGGGGGTGCTGTTTGCAGGCGACAAGGCATATAACGTGTATGTTTAGTTCGTTTTGCAAGAAAGTCTCTTAAGTACAGTGGCACTCGGATAATATCCTATTATTTCAGTAATTTCTGAGTTTATTTAAATAATTTTCCCCGTACAAGTCCTGGAACATGAAGCATTAATTATATTCATAATATGGTCAAATGGCACATTTAATAAAATTGTTTTTAGAACTTTGTTCAGCTTTTTGATTATTTGGATTTCTTTTTTACGTGAAAGCTTTTTTTAGGGAGCAGCTGCACGGTTTGCCAGATGACCGCATTGATATTTCCGCAGAACCCGGGACTATGACGGCTTCTTGTGCTCCCTGCTGCTCCCCAGCGCCGCCCGGCGGGCTTCCCTGGCACTGCGCGCTTTCAACGTGGAGATCGCCCAGGTAGGAGGTACTTCAGCACTGCTGCCTGTGACAGACTGCAGGCTGGCCACCACCTTACGCCGGATAAGCCGTTATGGAAGATGGAGGGTAGAATGTGTGTCTATAAAGAAGGCAGTTTCTCACAGACAGTCAGTGGGTGGCTAAGTGCACTTTGATGTGATCCTTTGTAACATTTTTATGAATGTAAATTGAAATAACAGCTTGCAGATTTCATATTTGTTCAGTCACATGTGCTATAGTCATGCTGTTGGCTGTATTACCTACATGCCTGTTATCCTCATTCAATTTCTGCTGCAACATTGTGACCAGAATTGTGTGTAAATGCCTTGAGTGTGTGTGTGTGTGTGTGTGTGTGTGTGTTTTGAACCTCTGAAATTAATTCTGGAGTCATGTCCTGGTGGAATAGGGTACCTATGTGTTGCTGTTTATCAGGTGAAGGACTTGGTTACCCAGAAGGCCACGGGCCTCATGCGGATGCAGTTCTGGAGGATGGCCGTGGAGGACGTGTTCAGAGACAAGCCACCGGTGCAGCCTGTCGGTGCCGAGCTCTGGCTGGTCGGTACAGAAATCCTCCCCCACCAGAGTGCCTGCTTACTGTCCATGGCGACAGCGGACGTTTGGACATTGAGATGTTTCTGTTTTTTTTTTTTTTTGCAGGCAGTTAAGAAACACAACTTAACTAAACAGTGGCTGCTGAGAATCATCAGTGAAAGAGTGAGTTTTTCATCTGCGGCTTTTTTAACGAGTGATTTAAAATGTGTTCTTTCTTAGGAGGGTAGTTTGTAAAGCAGAGGTGCAGATGCTCCTGGCTTTTGCTTTGCTGCGCAGATGTGTGAAGCAGAAATGCGGCTCATAGGAAGCGGCTGCCAGCACAGCCATGCAGTGTGTCGCAGGATTTTCTGTTTGTTTGCAGTGTAATTTTTAAATGAATTTGCATCGTGTTGCGTCTCAACCCTAGACTGGGCGCATAACAATCGTTTCTACTTGTTGGCACAATACACCCTAAGAAAAAAGGGCACCAGTTTGTACCTTTGTTTGTCACTGGGGCTGGACCCTCAAGGGTATGCCTGTTGTACCCTTAGGTAGGTAAATGTACCTTTTAAGACACTTAAAGTAGAGAAATACATTTATTTACACTTTTTCAATTTGGAGAATTACCTGGATTTGCTGTGTGCATGTTAACTATGTAGAAAGGCAATAGCTAGAGTAATAATAGAGTAACAGAGTAACAGCTACGGCTCCCTATTTGAACTGGTAGATCTCGGCACACTGGTCACCTGAAAAGTAGAACTTGAGTTTAAAAAGGTTGGGCAAATCTGATCTACACTTTGTTCTCAGGAGAAGGATCTGGAGGACAAAACATACCGGAACCTCCAGGAGTTGGAGACGTATTCTGAGAACACCTACTCCTCATTGCTGTACCTCATTCTGGAGTGTCTGGGTAAGAGTAAGTGCCTCTGGGTGCTGCTGTATGTTCCCAGCAGGCCAGTCTGTGCCTCTTTCTGTAACTGAGAGGAAAGCCACTGTTGCCATAAATCACAGGTGTCTGATTTTCACTGGGGTGTCCCAGTGCGTGTCACACTGGGATTTCTACTTTCACCTTCCGGCATTTTCTGCTTCTCATAAAAATTTGAAAGAGTAGATATTTTGCACTAAAATATTCATCATTCAAAGGTGCAGGCAGCATTATTATTTGATCAGTGTCAGTATCGCTTTGAATTTTCCATGCGATAATGGCTTCACGCTTTCTGTATAGCAGCTGCTGTAAAAACATGTCTAATAGTGCTTTTCACTTATCGCCCACTAGAGGGCATTAAAACTTTAAAAACGGCCGTGTTTTCTCGACCAGCGAGTAAAGTAAGGATTACATGTTAGCGTGCGCCTCATGAACATGCCACTGTTCCCTTCCACGTAGCGCAGCTTAACTGTTGTTGCAGTTCTGACCATATGGAACAGCTCTCACTATGTTTTGACAATGTCGTCATTTTCACCCCTGTTATTTCTATGCGGTGTGAAAGGGTGAGAAACATGGGATCGGTTTCAGGTACCTCTGCGATTCCAGGCTTTGGAAAAGCTTGTTAAAAAAAAAAAAAAAACTCTGAAGACCTGTCACAGGTGTCACTCAAACCTTCGGTAGGTCAGAGGTAAAGGGGTCACATCTGCTGTTACACAGGGCGTCTCCTGGGGGGGGCTCTGATGTGCCAGCTGGACACAGTGAAACACTCCACACTGCCCCCCCCCCCCCCCCCCCGTTTGGAATGGTTATTCCCCTAAACGACCTGTCGACGCTGACTTTCACTTTGCACGTGATGTCAGCTACTTTAGGAAGGCTGAGAGGCGTGCCCTTATGACCTCCGTACGGTCCATTAAGGCGGCTCTGTGTTGCAGGCGTGAGGGACGTCCACGCCGACCACGCTGCCAGTCACATCGGGAAGGCCCAGGGGGTCGTGACGTGCCTGCGAGCCACACCCCACTACAGCCAGTGGCGTAAGGTCTATCTCCCCATGGAACTCTGCATGCTGGTGAGACCACTGCCGCCGAACGGCCTCTGAAATTCACGCGGACGGCTGTTTTTTCAGTGCATCCATGTCAGATATTAAGAACCAAATGACAGCTACAAAGTTTATTAAATATATTCGCCCCCTCAGATTCACGAATTCTTGACATTCGCAGTTTCAGTTATTCGCCAGTTGCCTGTGAACAATTAAATGGGAATATATTTGGAAGACACTTAAGCCAAAAAAATATAAACGACAGTGAAAACTATTTGGTTTGTATAAAATCATATAATATAATATGTTAGTGATATTAGTGTTATTTAATATTTGCTATTGTATGTGTGTATTATATCAAATATGAAGTTATTTTTGGTATAAAAAAAACTGATCTCTGCATCTTGGCTTGGATACGCTGAGTGTCTCCTCCTTGGCTGCCAGCCTCACTGCCATGTTCGCCATCTCCTTCCTGCCAGCCTCACTGCCATGTTCGCCATCTCCTTGCTGCCAGCCTCACTGCCATGTTCGCCATCTCCTTGCTGCCAGCCTCACTGCCATGTTCGCCATCTCTGCCACCCTGGAATCTCGCCTTTGCATTTCTGATAATGGGGGATTCCTGAGGATCTTTCACCCCAAACCCTTGAACTGGTGCCAGTACAAAATATTGCAGGTAGTTACACAAAAAAACCAAAATTTTAACAAACCGAAATTCTGTTTCTGTAAAAATACTTTTAACAGAGTGCATGTAAATAAATTATGACAGCTATTAGATTCCTAAACTCCTTTAAACAAAATTTGTCACACTTCCCTTTTATTTAATAATGCATACTTAACAGTATATCGTAGTGTTGCCATATTTGGGTCAATGATGTTTCACAGATGCTGTAAAAGCTGCTACTTTTGTATTGTACAGTGAAGTGAAAATGTTCCTCACTGGGTTTCTGCAGAGACCAGAAATCCCCTGAAAGTGACATTGGCTAAATCTCCTACCATTAGCTTGTGGTGACATGTTACATAACTATGAGGAAATTTAACTCTGTTCCAAATGTTGTCTTTACAATTAATCCTGAACTCAAGCTGGCATATCTCCCTGTGGGTATTAATCGTCCAGTCAGTTTTGTGGTTGAGGTTTGCTAAAGACCATCTATTTTGCATTGCATCAGTCAGCAGACATACAAGTTTTTGGTTGGATTTCTTAGCTGAATCCACTTCCTTTTTTTCATTGAAATGCCCCCGTGCTGTAATGCATTTGACATTTTTGGAAAATGTGTAAGGCCTGCTTCAGCTTCCATCTGTGTTTTTCCTCTGTGCATTTTAAGTGTAATGAAGGTTAGAAATGATGATGAAAAGGGTTACTGGCGCTAAGAAGATCTGTACATTGTAGGAGTGGTGAGCTTATTAAATCGGAGCTCTAACATCACTGTCCATGTGCAGGGTGATGAGCCGTATGTGGCAGCGACGTTCTCAGCGTGGCTTCTGTCTTACCTTCCAGCACGGTGCTTCACAGGAGGACTTCCTGCGGGGCAGCCGGGAGCAGAGCGTGAAGGACGTGGTGTATGACATCGCCAGCCAAGCCCACGTGCATCTGCAGCACGTCAGTATGCCGTCCGCTGGCACGTGCAGCGTAGCGGGTAGCGCGTAGCGGATAGCGGGTAGCGCGTAGCGGGTAGCGCGTAGCGGATAGCGGGTAGCGCGTAGCGGATAGCGGGTAGCGCGAGAATGTTAGCTCTATCCTGTTCCAGGTGCTGCTTCCCTGGCCTCCTGCATGCTGATAGTCACTATCCCAGCCTCTACTCTGGCTGCCCTGTTTTTGGTGTGTTGGGGGGGGGGGGTCCATGTTTTTCTTTCCTTCTTTTTTGTCCAGGTGGCGGCCCTGACTTATGGCTACATGACTCATCTTCTTGGAGAGTGATAAATGTACAATCAGATGAACAGCCGTCTGTTCTGCTGTTAAAGGAATGAAGTGATTGTAAAGCACTTAATGAAGAGGGTCGTGGTCTCACATCTTTCATACGGGCCTCTGAAACATAACCTGGGCTATCATGAGCGCACCCTTGACCCTTGACACCTGCTTGTCATTCTGTTTTTCTTTTTTAAATCTCCACCCCAGGCTCGATCGTTCGCCAAAAACGTTCCAACGGCCGCTTTCCCTGCCTTCTTGCAGACGGTGAGTCTCTGCCAAAACGGAACATAATAGGGCCAAGAATTAATGATGGGCCAGAAAATAATGGATCCGGGCTGCAGGAAACCGGGGGGGTGGGGGTGTCTCTGAGACAAGCTACTCTTAGGTGAGTTGGCGGAAGCGTTAGTCACGACGCCTAAATGTGCATGTCGGCTGCGTGACGCCACTGGAAAAGCCGGACAGCTTGTCTTCTTCTCCCAGAACTTTATGCCGGAATTTTGTTGGCAACTTTAATGCAGCTCAAAATACAAACATATGGCGGCCTTCATGTTACTAAGAAGTCTCATATTGCTCAAGAAACGGGTTGAAAAATGGTCCGGATGGAGAAGACTAGTCTTCGTTGCTTGCGTGTTTATGGCTGCTCTGTGTGTCCTGTTCTAGGTCGCGTTAGAGGACTACCTGCAGAAAGTGAGGAAGGTGGACTTTGATGTTTTCCATCCCACGTTACAGAAGCGGAACCCTCTGCTTCCCATCCAGCTGTACCTCCGTTCATGGAAGGCCGTCTACTGATATCTCCTGCTGTATAGATCGGTGTTTCCCCGCCCGGTCCGCAGGGACCGCCAGACAGTTCACCTTTCTGCTCCCTTCCCACCCACTGCCATGCAGTGGACATTTTTGCTGCTTACTAGCTCCCCACCAGGGAAGAAAGCATGAAAACACACTTACTGCCCATGTCCTTGCCACTCAGTCCAGATTTTTGCTGGGAGGGAGCAGAAACGGGGGGGCTCCCGAGGAACGTGTTGGGAAACACTGGTATAGATGCTTTAATTTATCTATCATTGTCCAGTGGATATTTATAATATAATCCCCAGTGTGTGGGCTCCATCGTCTTCTCTTGTGGCTTTCCTCTGTCTGCAGTGCCCTGGACTGTGGGTGCTGGGCTCTCCTCGCGGCTTCAGGTAGCCCTACAGATGGATGGGCAGTTTTAGCTTTCCCGTTTGTTGGGTCTGTTGGGTCTTGGGTCTCCACAAAGAACGAAACCTTCGACTTACAAATCAACATGCTCAACCCTTCCTGCGAGTGACCCCTCGGCGCGAGACGGCTGGCTGTTCCCTGCTGTTTTCTTGCTCGCTGATCTCAGCTTCTCACTCTTCCAAGGCCCTTCACTCCCTGTCCTCCCAAATCTTGCCTTTCCCTCCAAGTCTTGTACAGAGACGTCGCTCCCTTTCATAATTTCTTGCGACCTATAGACACTTCACTCAGTAAAATAGCATTCCATTCCTTTTTTTAATGTCAGTTCTGATCTTGTTTTCTTCACCTACGCTGGTTCACTTACACAATTCATTGGCACTAAATCTAGGCATTTCACGCTGCATATGTGCTCTAATCCAGCAAAGCAAGAGTTAATATTAAATTCACCATTCTGCACAAACTGGGTGCTGTGTCCTGCGGTCGCGCCGGCATGCTAAGAAGCTCTGAAACCCTCTGTGCGCCACATAACTTAGTTACATTTTTAGTAAACAGTCACATTCACAATGGACAAGGCCAAAGGCATTGAGAGCAATCGCAGCAGCACTCAGACTACCAACAGACTACGTCCCAGACTACCGTAAATTTCACCTCCACACGTCATGTACACCAGTCGATTGTTTTAAATAACGCAAACAAATTTTTGTATCAATGTACAGAAAGGTCAACATTTTAATGAAGGCTCACGTGAAGCTATTTTATTTCTGTTCCAGATCAACAGAGAATGCAGCTACACTGTGGAACGTGGAATGATATGTTAATTAAGTGATCTGTGAGATGATTAGTGGATGGCTGTTTTAATAGCCACTGTCTAATTGGATCCTGGTGGTCAAGCGAAATCCGGGGAGCGGATAACTTCGAGACTCAGAGGCGGCTAACATATTGGTTTATTAATTTTTGATTTTATTTCACTGCAGCATCAATCTGGCATTTTCAGTGTTACAATGCTGAATGATCACATGGAAATCTTTTAGGAAAACGGACCTTGAAGAGCACAATCCCTTCCCTCGTGGGAAGCTACTCCGGGCATTCAGGGATTAAAGGATTCAAAGGTTTATTGTCATATGTACAGTGTACAGATACAAAGTACAATGAAATTCGTATTTGAATGCCTTCTTGCAGACTACCAGGCAACATGTCGAGCAGCAATACAAGAAGCAGTCAACATAGAGTGCAACATTATGGTAAAACAAACTGTACAATGTAGTACATACAAACTGCGAAACATGAGCGCACAGGATTCCAAGTTAATATCGCAGTTTATTTTTTGAGTATTACCTGACTCGTGTAGAGCAAAGGACAGTTGTGTTGCTCCCTGACCAGGAATCTGCACAAACAGTAGGTGGTTTAAGCTTCGTCCGAAGGGCAGGGCAGCTGCCTGGACCTTCTGCCTCCTCGACGTCCTTCAGTGCCTCCCCCGTCCTGGAACAAGCAGCCTTCACTGTAGTTTCATTTTTTATAACTACAAAGGGAGCAAAGGATGTAGGATGTAAGTTCGCATGTCTGACTGGGACAGCAAAAGCTTGGCAGCTGGGTCCCTAACGACGGAAGAACCTGCTTTACCCAGGGTACTCACCCAGAGCCCCCCCCCCAGGGCTCCCGCATCCTCACCCATCAGCTGACTGAAGCCGCTGTCCAGCCCTCAGCGATGCTTCCTGCGGCTCTGCCCCGCATGATGGACGTGTCGTAAGGTCCTTCCTGGATCGCAGCTCCACCCCAAACGCCAGGAGAACTTCACCGGCATTATAGCAAAGGGCTACTAGCCAGAGGTGGAGAGTTCAGGTCCAGCAGACCAAGATTTTGCTTCAACCAACATGTTGATGATTCTGTGACTGTGACTCTTTATACCCGGCTGGTTGGTTCTGAACCTGGACTTTCCACCTCTGGGAGAGAGTTTGTTCTTTGTACTGGCAGATTCATAATTTAGAGTCGGCTTCTTATTTGTTAATTTCCATGTTATGTAATGGTGTAGACTGTAGAGGATGCACCTTGGCTCGGTGGTCACTGCTGCGGTCTCGCTTGTACGGCTGGATGCCTGTGATCCTGTCATCACCCTGCATGCTGGAATTTGCATGTTCTCCACGTGTCACACGTGCTTCCCCTGGGTTCTTTGGTTTCCTCCAGCCGCCCATAAGCATGCAGCCTGATGAGTTGCCATCTCTGAGACGCCCATATCCACAATGTGTTCTTGATGACTATGCTAGTTTTAGCTTGTGCATTTCATCAGGCCAGGCTTCCCCAGTTTCCTGCAGGCGCAAATTCAACACAATCTGCAGATTTCCCTGCTCAAGCACACCTACTAACCCCAGTAATTAGCTGATTAAGACGTGCTTCAGCAGGGAAAACTGCAAACTGATTCTGGCCTCCAGGACTGGAACTGGGGAGGTACGCCTTAGGGCTGTTTATTTGGTATTGAAAGATTGCTGGTTCAAGTCCCTGACCAGCAAAATACCACTGAGATATCCTGCACAAGGTTCCGCCCCCCAGCACTGCTCCCCGGGCGCAGAATCAGCTGCTCCCTGCTATGTCCCAATGTCACATATGGGTTAAAGGCAGAGGACACATTTCTTTGTTTTGTGCTGTGGCATGTGTCTTCACTTTCACAGCAGGATCATATGCAGTTTACTACAGGCAAGACTACATTGCAGTAATATATATACACAGATGTTCAATGTTCTGTATGCTGCTGAAACAAAAGAGCAAAACCAGAGCCGGTAACTGTGTTTGCAGATTTTCTGCTTATGACTATATGTTTTCAAACAACGCCATTGCACGACATTCTTGCACTAAATACGTTTCATGCATTATTTTTGGGTGGTTTGTAATGTAGTATATGGTCATGTGCAGGCACGTTGTGAGGGACAGATGATCAAAGCCTTCGACATATAAGAGGGACACTCAGAACCTTTAAAGGGAGGTACTGCAGATAGTTTGGGCAAAAGGGATGAAAAGGAACAAGTGCTCAAACACCCGCAGCCCACACACACCTGCCTGATTATGTGTCATGTGACACTGGGATAAAACAAATCTCCAGCATGACATGTGGAAGGAACATGTTACAATCATTCTAAAATAAGTAATTGTCCATTGTTTTGATTGCTCCATGTAATCTGATAGTTCACTTTCCTGAAAAGTTTGCAAAGGGCAGCACAGTAAATTTTACATCAGAAAATGCTGTGTTTCATGAGTGGTTTTAAAATAAACACCAGACAGTCTGTGGGTAAAAATCCCTACTTAATGGAATGAGATTGGCCCAATGATTTTATAAAACGCATGAAGTGTCCCCTGAGGTGAGATGGCCTGCTTTCTCACTCCTTTGACAGCGTTCCATAGGCTACAGGATGTGTTCACTGCTTCAGTCTGATTTTCACTTTCCCAGCTTTGTTCATATCTGGAATTTAATTTGTCTTAAATCAGCTTCTCCTTGGCTTTGCTCTTCCATTGAAATACATGAAAAAATATATAGTTGAGCTGCAGTTTTATACTGCTACTAAAAGTGCAATATACCTCACATGTCTTATTTAGTTTTAGAGCTATTGGCCCATGTATTTTTTCCAATGCACCCTGAATGGACAGAGTGTAATTAGTCATATTTATAAAGTATATTTGGAAATAGATAATCTGAAATCCAAGATCTTTACATTGTCCCCTGTAGCACACTGTTCAAATCACACTTTACTAGATATCTCTGTCTCGTGTTGTTTTTGAATTATTAGACAATTTATCACGCTTCATGAATGAATGACACCTGGCATTGCTCACTGTGTGGGCTTGCGGACATCAAAAATAATGGATTAAAAGGTGCTTGGCTTGCTTTGTTAAAAGATATTACAGCCGGAAAACTGAATACAAAAATACAATTAATATTGTAATATTTTTTTATTACAACTATTCCATGTTACAATCGCCCCTGGTCTCCCCGACCTTGTGCTCCCAAGAAGTTAGTTTATTGTTTGCTCGAGATCAAACAATAACTATGTTCAAACAATAACTTTGTTCAAATTATCAAACACTGACTTTGGGATGCGTATCTCGGGAGTGTGGCTAAAATTAAGTCTTTTCATTAAAATTCAGGTGTGTAAATATTTGAGGAGTTCCCATTCACTGAAGACTGACGCACTATAGCGACGTGGGTACTCTGAAGCGGTTCAGTCCGCATCCGAATCAGAATCGGACGCAGTGAAGCTTGGCGTTGTGTTGCTGATGGAATTTGGCCCTCGGGGCAAATTCTCCATTAGAGCGTCGCAATGGTTTTTCCATGTGGGCAGCATCACATCTTTATTGCTTATGAAACTAACGTTGGGATATTTTGATTTCCGTGCCACATTCGAGCCATGCTGCCCAGAAATTGTAACTCTCTGTGACCACATTACAATTGCATTAATCATCCATTTCCCTAGCAAATGGAATTTATGTTTCCGTGTGAATAAAGTCACGCCAATTCCATCTAGTACGTTAATATTTTCTGCGCATGCCCAAGTGCTCTGTGTGTGTGTGTGTGTGTGTGTGTGT